TTTTGTGAAGTAAATATATGTTTGATTTTGTGATTTTTGGGAAGTAAAGGTATTTTTTTTTTCTTTTTGTGAAGTAATGTAGGTTTGATTTTTTGATAGTTGAGATAAAATTAAATCTAGAAGGCTAGAAGTGGTCATAGTTTTCAAGTTACCATTTCTTAATAAGGAATATATTGAAAGTATAATGTTGTAACTGAAAGTAGAATCCTAGTAATTGAAATAAATCATATAGAATGGTAAAATGGTCATTTTTATCATTCGACATAACAATTCAAAGGTTTCAACCAAACAGCATTTTATAAATTTAGATCTAAATATGCAGTATCTCTTAGAAATTTAGAAATTTTAAAAATTCAGATCTAAAAAGTTTAGATCCTGCAAAACAGCCCCTAACTATTGTTCATTAGTTTCCTTCATGTGGCCGGTTATATGTGGTTATGATGTTACAGGTTTGGTTCTAGGATAAATATTACATTGGTGAGGTGTAATATACATGTGCATTTATCATACATCGTTTAATTATTACACCACTTTCCATCTACGACTTTCCAAAGATTAAATTTGTATTTATTTATAAGATTTGATCATAACATCTATGTTGCTTATTATAATTTTTTAACCCAACACAATTTTTTCATGTATGCCTCAATTTTAAGATTTAAGTGCTATGAAGTAACGAAGAAGTATGTGTATGAGAGAATTAAAAATGTTTATTTATTATTGTAAACAGTTTGAACTAAATTTTTGTTAGAGTATATCTGTCTTAGTTAATGTATTGAACATCTATATACGTTTACTATTTCGTGATGTTTTATTTATGAGTTATGACGTATGATGATTAGGATTTCTACAAGAAAAAGACATACCAAATTATTATGTTTTAACAAAGTAGGTTGTTATTCCTTCTCCCTTTTAAAACGGCTTGATTATTACAAATTCGGGTGATTTCTTGAAGAATTTAATCCGATCATAAAGAATTCATCACTATATCATAAATATTTAAGACATGCCCGTAAGATATTTGTTTATAAAAAGGAACCAAGAGTGAGTTTATTATGTTAATTTGTTGCTTTTATTCAGGCTTGTTTAGGTAGTCTTTAAAAATTTCTAATATGCACCACAAATGTTGAAGGTTTCTCTCAAAGGAGATTACATTCATTATGATACATGAAAAACCACTTGGAAACTAATAAGTAATAGTAATTTACAACATTTTATGTTTTTTTTTCATTACTTGTTTATAAATGCTTATTACATTCCTTTCAGATGAAAAAGGTAGTGTTTGTATTCTATGTATATCTTGTGCATATGTAGGGTTCAAAAGTAGGCATTACATGTTATAGTTTCACAAATTTATGCGTCTTAGAACTAAACTGTGACAATACGCCAAAACAAGAAAAGTATGCGATAAATGGTAGCAACAAAACAAAAAATTGAAGACGTGGCAATGACATTTAGGTTTCTTCAAATATTCTAGAGAAAAAAAACACATTTGTTCATATAAAGTAATTAACAACAACTAAGATTTGCGTCTCAACTAGTTTGAGCTATTTAGCATGCAATCATTCCAGTTGGCAAATAAATACAACCATCAATGGTCAACTTCACCTGTGGACATCCCGCACACGTGTCTCATGGACACATGGAAGAGGTAACTAACAAGATTCATGGAGCAAAGAAGATGATGTCAAATCTAAACTCGTGACATCACATATGAATTCTCACGTCTTGCTGCTATGACAAACATAAAAGGATAACTAGCACTTATTTTAGGTTATCATAGTCTCCATAAAATTTGACAATTTCGTGTTAAAAGTCCATTAATAACATTGATGTAAGGTACTTATACATCCACTCATTATGATCTACAACAATTTAGTGGAATAATTTGATTTGTTTCATGGTTAACTTTATAATCTATTTGAAGTCAAAGGTGAGTCAAATTGTTAAAACACACGAGATTACACCATTAATCAACTTTAAAAGGGAAGTGATTCGTACACAACAATTTTGTATCATACACAACAATTTATGCATTATAGAATTGTAATTAACAACAACTTCACCCGTTGATGTCCTGCACACGTGTCTCATGGACACATGGAAGAGGTAACTAACAAGATTCATGGAGCAAAGAAGATGATGTCAAATCTAAACTAGTTTGAACTATTTAGCATGCAATCATTCCAGTTGGCAAATAAATACAACCATCTGTGCAAATCATCTCCCATTTCAAAATACTTCCTATTTGTTGTAATATTTTAAACAACCAAAAAGTAACTCCTTAATGGTAAAGAGAGGAATCTCTATTTTCTCCCAAATATGGTAAATGTCGAACAAACGTTTTCCGCTAAGAAAGTAACGGAGAAGACGGCGTTAATTTTTTACCCCCTATATAAATACGAGCGATGTTTCTCTTTTCTTGTCTCTTTAGCCATTTTTAGTTTCTCTCTCAAGTGCATATTCTTAACGTACAACCACTCGCAACCTACCAAATCCTAATCATCATCGGAGATACACCGGAATATCAGTAAGAGTCTCCGATTGTTCATCGGTTATTTGAAAGAAAAAAACATCTCTTTTCAAACTGAGATTGTTGCAGCATTTTGCCAAAATTTGAGAACGTTCTTATTTTGGTAATTTTTTGTTTTTTTGGTGTATTAATTATCTCAAAATCGAAACATAAACAGTCATTGATGCTGTACACTTTCATTCTATTTGAAAAGTTAGGATAGTTTTATGCCAGATTTGGTTTGAATTCAGTTGTTATTTTTCGATTTGCAGGAGAAGCTGAGGTTCATATAAGTTTAGATACGAACGAATATTGAAGAAGGGGGGGGAAATAGCGACAAGAACAGAGTCTGTCCCTGCCAAGGCCAGTCGTTTTCGGAGGTAATTTTTGCATGATTTTGTTTTCGATTTGTCTGTTTGTCAATTCATCGAACACTTTCAGTGCATTCTACACTTTTAAAGCGATTGATCATACGATTCCCACTCTTTCTTCCAACAGCGCAATCGGAAATAATTTGAAAATCATCATCATCATTCCATTTCCAGTCCCCCTCTCTCTCTCTCTCTCTCATCGTTTTCTCTCTCATCAGTCATCAGTGATGGTGATGCTCAGAATCTGATGATTATATAACTAATAACAAAATATCAAATCTTTTGTTATATAATATACAATCGGATTAATTATTGCAACTTCATAGAATCTGGTGCAAATGTTAATTTGATTCAGTTACGATTTTGCTAAGAATATGTATAATAAACGTCTCTTTCCATCTGTAGAGCAATCGTTTATTTTTATTAAAAATGGGTAAAGCAAAACAAAGCAATTTCTGATCCCGGAGAGCTCTCTGCACTTTCTCTTTATTTGTTCTTCTTCCTTTTCCTTTCCCCCAAGAAAATGTTGTCTTGGAATTTTCTTTTCCTTTTCTCATCCACGTAATCAATCAATTAAATCTCTCTAAATTATAAAATACTATATTATTATTATTATTATTATTATTTTAAACAATCTAATTTACTTCTAAATTAATCTTAACCTTTAACCTTCCATGATTACATCTCAAAGAAAACAGAATGACACCTGGATATATAGAATCTCTTTGATTTGGATAAACTTCTATTTATTTCTTTTCTCGATCTTCAGTTCTTAACTTTAAATATTTTTTATTTTTTTGAACGGCTGACAAAATAATATATACTTTATTTAATAGCATTAAAACGGACAAAATCTTGCATTCAATAATTTGAAACAATGACAATTTATTCAAGAAGTATTATTATTATTTTTTTTTATATTGTCGGACAAAAACATCACAAATTTTCTTTTTCATTTAAGTAAACAATTATGATGCTACATTTTGTGATGACAAAATTGATTTTCATTCTTTCTGTTGACGTTATTTTTCCTTTTCACCAATACGCAATGTAATGCCCTTTATTGTCATTTGTACTATGAAAAGAAACTGTTATTATCATGTAGTTCAATTATTTATCTTTTATATATAGTTATTGTTTGTAACCAAAGTTTGTGGTCCATAGATAATTGGTTATATCCATTACAACTATGGTTTTTATTTTTGTCCAATTCGTACCAAATCGTATACTTTAAAATATATTCTGTCCCTTTTCAAAAAAGAACATTTGATGTCACATTCAAATTGTACATGCGTGATTAAATGTAATATACTTAAAATCACAACAATAAGATTTGTTTTCTCTTTTCTTTTTCTAGATAAAAGTTTGGTGGTTGTGTTCTTAAGCCATATAATATTGCTCAATTTCGGGAATCATGTGGGCCCAATGAACATTCTATGGTGTAGGATGATGCAATAATGTTACTATTATTATAATATTCTAATATCATATGTCAAAATATTATAAAAAATGTAGAGTTAGATGCAAAAAGATGGAAAAATAAATTTTTTTTATTTTTTTTATAATAATACATTTTTACTTCTTTATTAAGATCAATGTATTTTGAAAACTTTATTAAATTATAATATTGTTTTTTCGATTTATTTTAACTATAATGATATTATATTATAAAATGTAATATTCTAATATTTTGTATCCGCATAATATTTCTATGATTCCATATATCTCCAAAATGTAATATTATAGTAAAAAAAATTAATGTTTAAAATGTTTTTGTACTAAAATAACATAAAAATCCATGTTTTATTTATTGTATTTAACCTTTAACCCTAAAAACTATTGACTTTCTTGAAATTATGGAAACAATCTTTTTTAGATATAACACTTAACTATATCAGCCATTTGAAATTACAAAATATTCAACATTTAATTCTATTTGTGATATTTAATTCGTTTTATGGAAACCATATTATGATACATTGTTAACAATAAATGATTTTACTAAAATTGATTTATTCGCCTCCAAATGTGCTAAAATTGATTTCTTTATATTTTTGTTATGCAGTGGTTAAAAATATACAAAGAAGGATAGAATAGAAGGTGAAAAAGGGTAATTAAAAAAAAAAAAAAAAAAAAAAAAAAGAATGCTGACGTGTATAACGTGTTCGAAGCAACAGATAGAGGATGGTGGAGAAGAAGTGGGAGCGCGTGGGACTCCTAGTGGAAAAGAAGCCGTCAAAAGCCTGACGGCGCAGGTTAGCTTCCCGTCCCTACTTATATCTATCTTACGCTACACACTATTTGCATGTAAATATTAAAAGAATTGTCCTCATTCTATGTGTGGCTAATTTGCCTATTACTAGCAGTAGTCTCTTTGCTTTTTTCTGCTTGTGATTCTTCTTTATTGTATCTTTTCCCGTTTTTGTCAGACAAAACAAAATCTTTCAACAGACCATGCTTATGACATTTATTGGCATTTGGCACCACTTTAAAATATTTATTTATTTATTTATACTTGTATTTGTACGTGGGATATTTATATTTTATGCTATAGTTTTTGAATTTTCTTTCTTAGCACTCCTTATAAAAATTTAAAAGTCTTTTTGTTTAACAAACACAATTAAAAACTTATGTCATATTTGGCAATATTTCGGATCGATCAGATTCTAAAATATAGAAATCATGTTTGTAACCAAGAAAATGAATGAACACAACCAAGTAAATATGATCTGGTTTTTCGATTAAAGAGTAAGAAGCTCAATTACAAATGGTAGTAAGAAATGACCAATCAGATCACGACACATAAGCTAAGACACCTTGTCAAACTAACTAACAAACAACTACGAAGCCAATGCGAATACTACAATGAAGACTTGCATAAAGACTCAAACACAACACGTGAAACCTAATAAAGTTTCATTATCGATATTTTTTTATATGTAAAAAGATGAGTATATCCTTTTGATCATTGTTATTATAAAATTTATCGTACAAAACATTATCCAACAAAGAGACATGCTCCATATGACAAAATTTTAATTTATTTTTCCATAGTGGCGTTTGAAGCTTTTGAATTCAAAATGTCGTATGAAAAATCTGACACTAAAGAAGGTTTTCATGTGACGTGGGGTTTATGTTTAATCAATAAAACGTTACAATTTGGGATTATTCTGGTTCTAATTTAACTAAATTGTTGTTTCTTAGAAGAAAGCTATTGCCATGTCTAGTCTATAATTAGAAGTAGGACCACAAACTTTTTTCATTCTCAATGCGAAAGTTTTTTAGAATATAGGGATCTGTTCAGAAAATGTTTAATTCTAAAAAAAATTAAAAAAAAAAACTGCCACTCTAGTTTAGGTTTGCTATATTTAGTTAAAAATAAATGTTACATTAAGTACGATTATTAATTCAAATACCCAAAATTGACATGATTAAATAAATGTGTGAACTGCTCAAGAAAGTTGGTGGGTTGTTTTCTTTCTGATATTTCATTTGTCGAATATGACTTTTTTTTTTCTTAAAAAAAAAAAATAATAAAAAGAAATAAACTGTTGTTAATAGTGTAACTACTAGCGGGTGCATTAAATTTGGTCATTGTATACATATTTACGATGCTTTGACCTCTTGATAAAATCTGCACCACAGGCTAATAGACAGTTTTTACAATTAAAGTATTTTTAAATTTACTTTAAAATAAGTTTTAAATTTAAACTGAGAAATGCAAAGTTCGCTCTTTTGGTTAGAAAAGATTAGACACAATCTTGTAACTTGATTCCCATCATCATTTGCTTACTAAAACAACCAAAATCTTTGGGGTATCCGTACAGTTTATGTACTTTTATATACGATTTTAGATTCTTTGATTTCTTTTAATGAAAAAAGAGATGAAAAGAATCGAAAATATGAAAAAAGTGCAGTTAAGCAATGACTAAACAAAGATTCATTCAGCTTGGGGGAAAGAGACTCTAGTCTCTAGGTTGGGGTAGATCTAGGGTGGGGACACAATGGGTATTTGCTTTTAGACTTAATTTTTTTTAAAATTATTATTTAGTTTTTCTAAAAAACTACATAAAAACAACGTCAAATTTCGGAGAAAAACTTAAAATTTCAACATAAAAGACTAAAATCAGTTAGAGGTTACAACTTACAAACGCTTATAATGATTTGACTGATTTCTAATCAACAAAAGATATATCACATTGTGTTGTTTGTCCTTGTGACAATTTGTAACATGCTAATCGATTTTGACATGTATATAATAGATTAAATGAAATACAAACTATTAGTAGTTTTTCTATAAAAGAAGGTTTTTTAATGGCTTCTAAATAGAAAAAATGAAAATATAAAGAATTCAAAAAACTTTCTTAAAAAAATATAAACAATGATAACAAGTATTTGGATTAGATATGGGTAGAGTAAATGATGGTTAAAAAATTATATTCCAATCACACCATGCAAAAAGTGGATGTGTGGGAGGGGGGAAGTATGGTATATCTTGAGGAAAAGACAGGACACCCATGTTGGGAAAAGGGACACACGAGTGTCTTATAGTGGGACCCTCATTGAATATTTGTCTAATTCACTCTGACCCCTCATATCAAATGGAATTCAAATCACTAATGATAAAATACAAAGAAATTTTCTAAAAGTTTTATCAAGGTTTTATCCTTTAGTTTCCTATGAAAACTTTAGTAAAGCATTGTTCATATTTGATTTAGACCCATTTTACCATGACAACACTTTTAGCTTGTGTTGTTACATGAGATGAAGCTGGACTGGGTTTGACCGAACTGTCTGAGTTTTCCAGAAGATAGAAAATGAGATGGATATTTACGTCTTTTGTATAGTCAATGATTGACTAAGGGTCTAACAGTTGTCCAATACATCCCAAACACAGATAAAAACTCTTATTTTTTCGGATGTCAGTTATGTTTGCTTAATTATATGGTTTTGTGATACATCAAAGAACTTGTAGTGTGAATAACTAGATCAAGTTTTGTAGAATAAAATAAAAACTTTCTTTAATTTGAACTTTATTCCAGCAAAATATTATACTTTTCAAAGTGAGATTATTGTATTATTATGCTTTGAATAGTCATTAAAAGAAGAAATACAAAAGTGAGCCCTTCAAACCAATTGTTCCACAACTTATTTTGTGAACGTGGATCTTTACTTTTTGCTTTTTATCACTTCTTCTTTTAAGATAGATCTCACAAACTAAACCTAAATGAAAAATAACTACTTTACATTACAAAACTTTTTAATTTGATAATAACGATGACGAGGAGGTCATTTTCGTCTTTTCCACAAATATAAGATCTACAACAACTCCCATCCCATCATTTTCCACCTTTCTTCAAAAAACATTATTTTTCTCCTATCGACATCAATCCAGTCCAATACACGTCAAACGCAGCACAAAGTCCAGACTCCAATCCAATACACACCAAACGCAGTACAAAATCCAGATTCCACAGTATTCCCAATACTCGAGAAACACAATCCAGATTCCAGTCCAATGCATGTCAAATGCAGTACAAAGTCCAGACAGACTTCAATCCAATAAATGTCAAACGTAGTATTCCAATCTAATGCATGCCAAACACAGTATAAGAAATCGAAGTGTTATTTTGCTGATGATTGTGTTATGATATACAGATAAAGGATGCATTAAAAGTGTCTGGAACTTCAAAGGGAAAACCACCAATAGGACCTAGCAACTACAAGAAACCACCACCACATAGAGCTTACCCAGACTTTGAGACTATATCTGAAGGGGGGGCCCACTACCCTTATATGCAATCAGGAAGCACTAGTTCTAGTACTCCTGCATGGGATTTCACTAGCAACAATGATTCACATCAAACAAATGCAGGATTCGAACCTCCAAGACAATCTGGTCATTTGGTTTTGGAAGATGAAGATGAGCCTAAAGAATGGATGGCTCAGGTTGAGCCAGGTGTCCAAATCACATTCGTTTCCTTGCCTAATGGTGGCAATGACCTTAAACGAATTCGTTTCAAGTAAGACTTTATTCCTAACTTTATGTTTTCACCCATTTCAAAATAACATGGTTGTAGTTGTCCCAAAATTTCCATCTCTTAAAAAAAAAAAAAAAAAAAAAAAAAAGAATTGAAAGTACAACAGTGTAATGGAAAACAATGAAAGTGAGATGCTATAATACACAAATAAATGAAAGCACTGCGCGTTGTTATTTCTTTAATTTTACCCAAAATGAGAAAGTCGTTGTTAGTTTTTCATTTAATTTTTTTTTATAAAAACTCTGACATTTCTTAATTTTTAAATATATGAAAGCCGGGAGATGTTCAACAAATGGCAAGCTCAGAGGTGGTGGGGTGAGAATTATGACAGAATAATGGAACTTTACAATGTCCAAAGATTCAACTGCCAAGCTTTAAATACACCCTCTCAATCTGAAGATGGGGTAATAAGTAATACTGTATTTTCATTTATTTATTTATAATAAATAAACAAATAAATTAAATATTTAAAAAATTATACAGAGAGATTCTTCCTACTCACGACTTGGATCCGCAAGGGAGAGTCCAATGATGACACCATCAATCAACAAAGATTGGAACAACAGAAACTACTACAAACCCCCAGACCAAGGCGGGGCCCACCACTACAACGTGGGCCCCAGTGCCTACGTGGCAGGTGGGTCCAAGGGTGAGATGTCGTCCATGGAGGCGTCAAGGACAACAACATCTTCAAGAGATGAGGCTTCGATTTCTGTTAGCAATGCAAGTGATACAGAGTCTGAATGGGTTGAGCAAGACGAGCCAGGTGTTTATATTACCATCAGACAGTTGACAGATGGCACTAGAGAATTACGACGTGTTAGATTCAGGTAATTATAGCATTGTATTTTCATTTCTTTCGATTATAATACGAACTTTAATTTTTTATAAAAAAAAATTATATCATTTTTTTTTTTTTTTTTTGTGTTATGCAGTCGTGAAAAGTTTGGGGAAGTGCATGCAAAAATGTGGTGGGAACAAAACAGGGAGAGAATACAATCGCAATACCTTTAATTATATACAACCAAACCAACCAATCATTGTCACTAATTATATATTCTAATCGGGTTTAGATGGTCAAAGTTTTGACGGATATCCGGATATGTCCATCTTTATTTAGGTCAAATTATGAGGGATTTCTTGTTCCGATTTTCGGGTTTATGCAATGTTTTTTATTATGTTTCAATATTTGTGATAGGAAGTTGGTATCTTGGACTTTTGTATTTTTTTTTTTTAATTTTTAATTTGCAAGTGTTGTATTTATTCTTTATGAAGACAGATTAGGGTTTGTTGGGTCTTTGGTTATGAAATGAGGACACCATGTATTAATACTTAATACTGAAATTTATGGATCATGAGCAATATTTTGGGATGTCAGGATGAAATTTTGTACCTCGTCCCCTAGAATACACATAATGGTTTGGAACAATATTTCAATCGAACAATATTAAAACAAGTAAATCATATTAATAATAGTAATAATGGTATCTATACAAATGATCAAACATATCTTGAAAACATCTCTTTATGATCGAATAGGCATTTTGTTGAATTGTTAAGGGCATGGATATAATGGATGTTTTTGGGATAGAATTGTGTTTATGATATTTGATTGGATTATTTAGATTGAAATTATTAGAATTTTTGTGTCAAGAATATAAATGTGTATTTGTATTGATGTTTTCGAGTCTAGAAAACGTGAATGTTTTCATGAAAAAAAAAAGATAGAGAGAGGTTTTGGTTGTGTAGATTAGCTGAAAATATGATTTTTCTTTATAACTAGTTGTAGTTGATAAATTAATTATATAGTAAAAGTTAAGTGATAGCCATATGAAAAATGTAGATAATAGGAAAAAAAAAACATCTTTATCTATATATCTATTATAATCAATGTTTTAAAATTACAGAAACATGTAAATATGAAAGTATAAGGAGCAAACAGGTAAATATACAAATTCATGTGGCGAAAACGTGAAACCAAAAAAGTTTAAAGACAAAAGATGACTATGTTGTGGGGAGCCGTGATCTTCAAATTTTCATTAGGTAGGGACTTTTGTTGATTTTTTAAATATACGAACCATTTCTATAAAAAAAATGCACAAAGATGTTTTATGTAAATTACGGAGATAATTTTTTTAATTTATTTTCTCTATAAGTGTCAAACCTGTCAACTTACGAGTTATTAAACATATCTTATTTTTGTAAAGAAAAAACTTTATAAGGACCTTTTGTATAAATTACAAAATTATATAGAATAAATATGTTAAAATTCAAAAGCTTTGTGGAAAACTTTAAAACTAAAAATATTTATAGGCTACAAATGAAAGTGATTAAAATGTGGCGGTAAAAGTTTGAAGTTCATTAGACGTTACTCTTGTTAAGGCAATTTGTTTTAATATATATTAGAAACTAAGAGTGTGCGCGGTACTGTTTCGTGTGGTTTAGAGCCAAAACCGCATATGCGGTTTGAGTTATTTAGAAATTGCATACCGCACCGCGAACGTTCATAACCGCATTATGCAGTGCAGCTTCGTGTGGGCAGTTTATGCGGTTTAACTAATTATTTATTTTAAATTTAATGACAATGCTATCATTTTCGTCACTAACGACTCACAAAGTGGTCATTAAAGAAATTTGATGGTCATAGAATTGTGAATATACATAAGTTTAAAATAATGATCACTGAATGTTAGTTGAAAATGAATTTAAGACAAATATATATATATATATATATATATATATATATATATATATATATATATATATATATATATATATATATATATATATATATATATATATATATATAGTCACTCCATTAAATTTTGGAGTAATTAAGTTTACATTTCAAAAACTTAAGATAATGTCACTAATTAAGCACATATCAAAATATTTTCGAATATATATATATATATATATATATATATATATATATATATATATATATATATATATATAATCATTAATTGATTTTATCAACGCAGTACGGTTTAAACCGTAATTTTGTAATCATAAAGCGCAAACCGCACCGTATAATTTGGTTTAACACAAATACAAATCGCAAACCGCACCGCGAATGTTTTAAACCGCATCATGCGGTGTGGTTTAGTGCATGCGGTTTATGCAGTTTGTGCGGTTTATTGCACACCCCTACTAGAAACTGCCTAATCTCCACTTTGTAGGGGACCCAAGTTGGCCAAAATTACATAACTTCGAAAGTGAAAGGAGTAAACTAGAAAATATACAAAACTTATGTGGAGAAAGTGTGAAAATAAAAAAAATATATATATAGAAACTAAATATGGCAATATATTGTCGGGTGGAGAGAGAGAGAGAGAGAGAGAGAGTTTAACTTATAACATATAACTTAATATGATAAAATAACATAACATTAACCTTTATATATATTATTTTATGTGACGCCCCCCCCCCCCCCCCCAACAAGTTGTTGCAGTCTACTCCGCAGGTGCGTGCTGCTTTGTGGTGGACTAAGAATTCACCATGGATAAATGTTGCCGATTACCCTGATATTTGAATTATGGTGATTTTGTGACAATTTCCTTATCATGATGTAGAAAAAAACAAGTTTATATGACTGAAGAAGAATTTCTATAATATTTTAATTTGGTACAAACATTACTATGGGTAATTTAGATCAACAGTATCATACTCTTGACTAGGTTTTTACTAGTTTTGACATTAGATCTACTGTTAAACTTACCTTTACTTTTGAAACTTGATTTAGTCCTACTTGAAGATTCAATTTTATTGAATCTATAGGAACCAAGCGTGACAATTTTTGCTTGTGTGACTGATCCTTAGGCAACAACTGCATTTTTCTGATTCGAACATTCACCTTGGGATGGGATACGATTATGGTTTGTTGTTCGTCTGACTTCTTCGTTTGTCCATGAATGGTGGTAATACAACCATGACTTCATCTGGTTGTTGGTATTCAGCTAGAACTGGCACAGGAAACACAACCTATATATATATATATATATATATATATATATATATATATATATATGTTGATCGATATGTTTTCAGTGTGAAGTACGGTATCACCCATTGAATGTAATGTTGATATCTCAGTTCTCTGAATAACGCCATAGCATGAGAGTAAGGTATACTAGATAATTTCCATTTTCCATATGTGCAGCAACGAGATTCCAAGTTGACTATACCAATTTTCATTTGGTTAGTCACTTCATATCTTCTTTCATAAACTTGCTATACTCGAAAACCGGAGAATTTGTTGATCTTCCTTTCAATAACCTTCTCATCATACTCATTAATATCTTTTTTCTTGGAGCTAAAAAATATGTATATCTTGTCATGCACACTAAATTATAGTAGAATTACCATTGAAGTACTATAATTTAAATAATTACCTCCACCATTACGTCGTTGACACCACCATTGATGCATTGTTGCTCGAAAGAAGTCAATCATCATTGGTATTAGTAGTTTTCATGCGTCTTTTGATAACACATTGATGGACTATATGTTGTTCTATGTTATTATATCATACCGAACCACAGGGAAACACACACAACCTTGCCCATTTGTGGAAACCGATTTTGTCTATCAATGTACGACAGTCTTCGGATAGGGAACGACGTAGCCTAGCCAAGATTTATTTGAAATCAGACCATCAGTAAGCTTTTGTAGCCTCCGAAAACAAAATTTTGTTTCTCTCTCGTTTGTTGATCTTTATTCTCACACTCCTTAACAAATGGCAACAATATAGTTTGTGATATGCGTTCGGAAACACGACTTGATTAGTCATTTCAACTGAATTGGATCTATCAGATATGATAGCCAAAGAGGTCATGTTGTAACATCCCAAAATCTTGGTAAATTTTTTTCATTATTAAATCAAGTGAAATCATTGTTTTCAAATAAAATCCCAAATCAACCAAGCATTTACAAAACATTATTCTCAAACATAGAAATCATATATCAGAGTGTCCCAAATCAAAATCATCAAAACCAAGAGGATGTGCACGATCACATATTCGATTTCTCATGATCATCCGAAGTACCTGAAACATAAAATTAAAACTGTAAGTCAAAGCTTAGTGAGTCCCCCAAAGTACTACCACACAACACATAACAACATGCATATTGGGTCCACAACTAACAGAATGGATTAGCCCAGAGTCTACAACATGAGTCTGGCTTACCTTCAGGCCCACAACTCACGTCTGGCTTACTCCTGAGCCCACAACATTGATGGGTTTTCAACATAGCAATCAATCATATGTGTGTATGCAACCCTAATTTGAGGATCTATGTTTTCACTATTAGACATACAAGCATTGAACACAAAACTATAAACCCTAGCATGCATCTAATAATTTCGAAATCCATAAAAGAAAGATCAGATCACATACCTTTATTGTTATGTAGTAATAACAATAGAAAAAATTGAAGATCCTTTGCTTTGAGAACAAGTACCACATGTGTAGTACCTTTGATGGCTCACATATATAGTAGGGAAAGAGGATGAATATAAGAGAGAGGAGAGAGGAGATACTTGCTCAAAATTTCGGCTATTCTAGGGTTCCTTGGAGGTGCATGAAATTATGAGGGCTTGGGGGTTCTATTTATAGTTAAGGCAGCTAGGATTTTGATGTGGAAAACCTTAATTCCTTAGCTTAGGGCCTAACCAGCCTATAGACTCCCATCCATAAGGCTTGGACGAAAATCTCTAGAATCTTCTAGTGATTTTCGGCCTACCCCAATAAGGGTGATCCAAGAGCACAAAATCTCAACTATCAAATAATTGCAAAACAACCTAAAATCAATTCCAAATTAATTTATGATTAAATACTAATTAATAATATGATTTCTAATTAATATATTATTCTCATAACATATTAATAAATCATTTTATACACCAATTTATTATTCCAAATAATAAATTCAACATCTTTCTCCAATAGTCATCATGTCTAGTTGTCAGTGTGAAGGCAACCCAAAAGGAGGATGCTACTATCAAATCAAGTACATATCAATTATAGGTATGGGCTTAAACACCTAATCCAACAATCTCTCATTTAGATAAGTCTAATAACTATGATTGCAAATATGACCTCAAAATTTGACTAGCAATCGTAGCTCTCAAAGCCGTTGTCAAACTCTGACCCAGTCAGTTACGTGTCCTAAGATAAGGGATCATATAATCCTCCGTTCTACAAGATATCATGTGGACAAATGACACGGAATAGAATCATTCTCATTGT